AAGTGCAATGTGGATATTTATAATAATATTGTTATTAATTAATGTTATGTGGTACATTGAATTAGTAATTAAATTTGCTTTCAAATAAGGTGTCACACTTTAAAATAAGTAGTTTTTTTTTCTCAAAAGAGGGCAGTACAATTAAAAGTATCACAATGGACAGTCATATTTCTAAATTCCCCATAAAATTACCTTTTTAATGATGTACTACACATTGTAGTATCACACTCTACAATACGTAGTAGTTTTTTATCCCGCTAGAGGGCGATAAAATTTAAGTAACGTAATTTACAGAAATATTTCTGAATCCCCCATTAAATTACCTTTTCAATGATGAGCCATACATGGTACATTACCTATTTAAAATTAAGGTGTGGAGAAGTATAAGGGAGGGGGTTGACACATGACATATGTCTATATTGTATAAATGTCTTTAATTTGGAATAAAAATCGACCTGTTTTAGCATTTTCCAAAAATACAATGATTAATGCCGAAAAACAGGATGAAACTGTTTTGAATGACCCACTCTGTATATCAAAAATGGCTACATTTATCGAATTAGTTCATAGAACAAAATTTGCTTAAAAATGCATTTTTTACAAGATGCGCTACACAAGAAAGATCCTCCCATCGAAAAATAATTATTGAGCGCAGCGCCATCTACATATTGACCTATTTAAAATCAATTTATATCTAAAACTGAAGCTCTCTTAGTGCCCTGTGAACTGGCTTTTACAGAATTAAAATATCTCTATTACTTACCAAAATATCCGGCCTGGGAGTTTTTATTGGTACACCCCTGTATATTTAGTTTATCCTCTAAACATTTATAGAGGTGCTGCAATAGGTTGTACAAAATAACCGGAACAGGCCTGTAATAACTAGATAGGAAAATCATGTGTTGGATTTTTGAATACAGGTTTAATTATCCTTATTTTAAATGGTGTTGGGAATATTCCGCTCTTAAAAGATTTGTTTATTATATGTATATGCCAAAGGCTTTACGATTAGGTTTGATATTTTTTCAATTATTTCCGCGCTTATACCATTAATACCCGGAGCTTTGTTATTTTTAAGAGAACTGATGACTTTTAAAAAATCTATCTTACTAGTGTCAGATAGAAAAAACGAATTTGGAACTATTTTTTTATTAATGGGATTTATTTTTGTTGCTAAATTGGCGCCAATATTAGGAATAGAAAGTACAAAATTCATTCGCCATTAGTTTTTTATCAGATATTTTTTTAACGTTGTCAAGAGTAATTTCACTCATATTAGATATGCGAGTTTTGTTCATAACATTATTTACCGTTTTCCACAGCGTTGAAGGGTTATGATCATTTTTCAATCTTCTATAATAATTTGCTTTAGCAATTCTAATTAAATCCCTTAAGTGGTTTCTATATCGCTTGTATTCATTTATGTTCTCTACAGAGTTATGTTTTTAATTTTTTTATATAGTTTATCTTTTATTTTTGACGATTGAACCAAAGCATTTGTAATCCATGGCGATCGTTTTCTTTCATTGGTTTTGTATTTTTTTTATATATTAACAATTTTTTTATATTGGTTTTTACAATATTAATAAAATTTTCCATGGCAATACAAATATTTTCCTCAAACATGACTGAATTCCAGGTTTCCTGATTTAAATTATTTTGTAGGAAGTCATAGTTTAAATATTTTTTAAAATTATTGTTTTTGTTTAATGTTAATGTTGTTTTTTCTTTACAGGTAATAATTTGTGCCAGAGTCGTAAAATGGTCTGTGATCAACGTTTCTAATACAAGGGGAATATACTTATTGTCATCTATCGCGTTTATCTAATAAAAATATATTATCAATACAGGATTTAGTGTTATTTTGAACCCTGCTGTAATTATTTATTAGTGATTTATACCCTTCTTCGCTTAAAATATTTATGTACTCAGTGACTTCAACTTCTTCACCGAAAAGATTGATGCTAATATCAAAGCGAAAAACTATAGAAAATTAGCATTAATGAGGGTAGGAAACAAATAATATCAATGTTGCCAGTTTAGATGATTGAGTAACATTATCAAGCAGCTCTTTATACCGAGTTCCCAATCAAATTCCTCAGGTTAAAATGCAGCAAATTGTTTTTATCTTTTCACAAGTAAAATTTATAGTTCAATAATAATTAAAGAATCTGGTATACATAGAGAAAATACTCAAAAATGTACTAAATGTATTATAAAAAAAAATCCTTTACGAACTAAATAATTTTATAATTTAAAACAATTCAATATAACTAAAACTTTCATTTTATTATCTATTCAAAATATTCACTTTCATTCGTATTTTGAGCCTGGTTTTCCTTTTCAAAAATAATATTTGCATAATGTTCGGCTTCTTCAAACCTTCTTTTTTTACTCCAGGGTCTGTATCCATATCTAAAGGCACCATAAATACCGAAGGTTATTCCTATCACTGAAACACCTAACCATATTGGGTTTCCTTTTTGTTTTCCCACAATTTGTTGAAATATCGACATTGTTTTATTCAATTACTCAGTCTTTTCTTCACTTGGAACACTAGTATTAGCAGTAATTGATTGTCTATCTGGCCTTTCAACAGTAAACACAGGCTTCCAAATATAAAATCCGGAAAACAATCCAAGTAAAGTAACGAAGACGAATTGAGGTCCTGATATTGAACGCGGTTTTCTGATTCTAATTTTCATCACATCAAAACAATTTTAATAAATTATTAGGTATTTTTATTTCAATAAAAAATAGAATGAAAATTAAAAAGTGAGGTTATTGGATCAATTATATAAGAATTTGGGTGGGTTCCGTAACTTTTGGTTCATGAAATTACTAGTATTTAAGAATTAATTAATTTGGTAATTTTTTGCCACACTTCCAAATGCATATCATTAAATTTAATAAAATATGAATATGTAGTTACGAATTCTTAAAGTTTTCCCAAGAGAACAATCTGATAAAGTCAAAAAATGTTTTCTAATTTATGTATCAGATGAACCAGAATGTTCGAACATACTCGTAAAAGTCAATGTCTATTTAGCACGAATCAAAATGCTGGACAGTGGGAACCTTAGAATATATATAGTCAGGAAGGAGGAATCCTAAACGACCTTGGAATCGCGATGGTATCTAATTTTGACAGTGAACTAGACGAATATGGCAACAAGTGTTTCTGGTCTACCAGTGACCTACTGTCATAAAGGGGCGTAGAAAAGAAAATAATAAATTTTCATTTTCATATTATCTAAATTTACCGATTTTTTCATTTTTGCATTTTTTTTTAATAACCTTCATTATGTAAATAAATTTTACTTTAAAATTGCATGTTGGGTGGGATAAATATAGGAAAATATTTGTGGGATAATTTATAGAGGGATTTCATTATTATGACAATGTCTTTATTAATCTACATTTTACAAATTATTAAAGTTTAAAAAATAAATGTTTTGTAGATATGCGTTAAAAAAAAATAAATATCCTATACTTATATTTAGATTAAACACCGTTGTGATATTTCTTTCTCAGATGTTTTTGTTGGAGTACATATAAACTTTCTAATATCAAAGAGAATTTCTAATCATTTTCTTACATAATATTATTAGTAATATTTTTTGCAGGACAATTTTGCATAAGCTGGTAAAACACCTTTTTAAGAAAGGATCCTATAATGTAATAATGATTCTATGAGTGCAAAATAAATTATTTTAAATGTACATTCAACGCTCTATTTGTATGCTCAGTCCAGTTATGATGAGAGTCAATTTGTACTCTGAGATATTTGATATCATTTGTAATACTTTTATGAAACTACTGAACGTTACCTTTTATTGTTTCTATAGGAAGAGACCATCTTTTTGTAACTGTATAATGGAACAATATAAGTTTTATCAAAAATTTGTAAGTTTTTATAATTAAACCATTCGAATTTTGTATAAGATTTGTTTCTATTAATAATTTTAATCAATTCCAGTTCTCTGTATTTTACAAAATAACTGTGTTGTCTGAAAAACGTTCAATATTTTCATCTGTATTTAAACGACAAATTATTTAAAATAAAATTAAACAAGCTAGGACCTAAGACAGTATCTTAAGTCATGCGATATGCTACTCATTTCCTTACTTGAGATATTATTAATTCTATTTGTGTTCGTTCATACAATAAACTTCTATATTTTTGCTGCGTTTGAGAATCCACATCGGATGCATCTGAGATGTAAAAAATCTTTGATCACGTGATTCAGTATACGCAAATGTAATGGGACAGATGTGTCCGATGTGGATAAAAAAACGCTCGAGATGTAAAAAAATGCATCCGATGTGGATTCTCAAACGCGGCAGATGATGAGTTATCCATAGTACAACATGGCTACCACTTCCGTCAGATCGATTAGATTAATGCGGACATGTCATGCTCCTTCCTGACTATATATGTTCTAAGGTGGGAACTGACAGTTTAGATATGGCAACCCTGTGGGCCTGTTGTTGTTGACAGAGACAATGCTACATAGTTATATAGATTACTTAAAGCTGGTCGTTTGCAAGCGGCCATATTGCCTGGCAAGTAGTCAATAATTTGAATCGGTTTGTTTTAAACCAATTTCCAGGCTTTGAATATAGTAAAAAAAATAAATAACTACATTTTTACTTCAAGGCATAAGACTTTGTTTATTTTTAAAAACTTGGATGATCAATCCCTATAACTATTTATAACACTGATCCTATCAAATTATCTGGCCCGCAGTGTTTGCCATATTATAACTTATCAGTGGTACACCGTGTCAGTGGTCTATCATTTCAAACAAGCCTAAAGCCTAAAATAAAAGCTGTAAATTGCGTTTTATTTTTTAAATAATTAAACACCGCTATTGAAAACTGCCCTGAAATGTTAAGGGTAAAATTTGGACATACTCTTTTAACGATAACGGGTACAAACGGGTTTTTTTTCAAATTTCCGCGGGTAATGTCAAAAATCAGATCAGCAACACTCATCACATAACCTCAGATTCAGAAAAAAGAAACAATAAACAACAACAATCATGGTTTTAAATCCGAGAGATTCAGCAAAGCTAATATCCGAGCAAGCTTTACATGTTAAGATTATCGATTATGGAATAGAAAAACTGGGTAATATTCTTGTAGAGGAAATAGAATCAGGTAGATTGAAACCCGATAACTTTAGTCAAACAGACGTACATCCAAAGGCCGAGGATAAAAATGCTGCAGATTGGATTTTCGTTGTGGATACCTTGAATTTTTGCTTTTGGCATCATAAGTGGAACGAAGGATGGGTGGTTGAGGGTTATACCGGGTATTTTGCGTTGTGCGCTGCAATAAACAGGGCTATTAAAGATGGGGTAAGCTTTTTAATTCATAAAAACTACGCTTATAGTTACTTAGTTTGATATTTTTAGATCGACATACTCAATCCAAAATTCTATTCGACAATAACCGAAAGCCAGTTAAAAAAAATCTTCAGAAGCGATAATAAAGTTGAAATACCCTTATTTACAGAAAGGGTAAAATGTTTGCACGAAGTTGGTAATGTTTTACTTGAAAAATTCGATGGTTCCTTCGAGAACGTGATAAAAAAAGCAGACAACAGTGCAAAAACTCTGCTTAATTTAGTCGTCGATAATTTTCCCTGTTTTAAAGATGAAGCAGAATTCAATGGTCAACAGGTATCTTTTTATAAAAGGGCGCAAATCTTAATCGGAGATTTATGGGCATGTTTCAAGAACGAAGGACTGGGTTATTTTAAAGACATAAACGAAATTACAGCCTTTGCTGATTACAGAGTCCCACAAACTTTACTCTGGTTCGGAGTTTTGGAATACGAGGATGATCTTTTAGGTTTTCTTGAAGATAGTGTTGCTCTCAGTAATGGAGATGATGAAGAAATCGAAATCAGAGGTTGTACACTTCACGCCGTGGAGTTGTTGAAAGATTACGTTAATAAGAAAATCGGTGATGGGAAAATCAATTCTGTTTTGATTGATCACTTTTTGTGGGATTTTAGAAGGAAACACGCCAAAGAAATTGAAGTGAAAGGATTGCCGTTTCATAAAACTTTAAGTATTTATTATTGACCTGTTCTGTATTATAATATTAGGTTTATTGTAAGTTCAAAAATGGGTAATAAAAGTATATTTTTGATGTTGTACTAAACTCGTAGTATAATTGTTTTAATTACTACTAATTATAGTAATTCATACTATTTGTTTGTGTCAATCATGAAATTTTATTAAAAATTCTGATGTGTCCAACACATGACTTTCCTATATGGTTATTACAAGCTTTTTCTGGTTATTTTGAACAACCTATTGCAGCACCTCTATAAATGTTTAGAGGAGGATAAACTAAATATTGCAATGAAAAGAATATAGGTCTTAAATACTATAACAAAAATAATAAAAAATAATAATATTAGTAATAATAATAATAACAATAATAATATAAAAAAATTGTTATAAGATATAATAAAGAAACACCCTATATAGCATCATAGATTTGATAGCGAAAAAAACGACAAAGTTGTCAAAAATGGGGAATGAGGGTTTTCTTTTTTGAAAAGGTGACAGCCAATTTTTGTCTTGTCTTGTAAAAAAAAAAATAAGAAACCCGGCTAGAGTTTAAAGTATCAATACACAAAAATGAATTAAGTAAGCAAATTTGTTGAAATTTGTACTTATATGACGGTGACTTGTATATAAACCTTTGTACAAGCTTGCGGCACAATCTTTTTGAAACGTGGACCAGGATCTAATAGTGACATTCGCAGAGCCCCAGTCTCCAGGCTGCAATCAATTGCAGAAAACTTGAATTGCAGACAGAACTGTGAGTAGTAGATACATTTAATAATTGTGAAAGAGACACTGTTAGAAAGTGCAGTACGAAGTGGTAGAATCACTTCGGTATTTGTAAATAGTTAGTATAGAGTTTCCTTAGTTTTAATTTTAAAAGAAGTAAAAAGTAAATATTAGCCGTAATTTATAATAATTTTCAAAAAAATACTTCAGGTGTGACAGTTGTCAAACTAGAAAGGATAGATTTCATGAACTACAATTTCTAAACGCAGGAGACAACTAACGGCGGTATTTTACTTTTTCCCTATTTTAAAATAATAACAATTAGTTTTTTTTTTGTTTAAGGTATGAATGTTTGGCATGAATGGTTAATAACAGTTATACTATATTAGAAAATAAGAAATTGTATTGAACTATGGTTTCATTTTCAATATTGTCTGCTTTGTTATAAATAAATTTGTAAGGTTTGTTGTTAAAATATTTTATTAGTTTGCTTACTTAAATATACAGGGTGATCATAAAATTTTGAAATAGTAGATTGGATTTTTGGCAGAATTAACAAATCAAAATAAATTAAACTAAATTAAACTAAATTAAACTAAATTAAACTAAACTAAATTAAACTAAACTAAATTAAACTAAAATTAAAGTTGATAAAATTAAAAAATTATCTCTTCAGTTAAAATTGTCAACTTGAACCTTCCCTGGGATAAAAGACGATCTGCTATAATAACATAAGACTTTTAGAAGGACATTAAAGGCTAGTCGAGGTTAGTTTTAATAAAATGAGTTTGGTAAATTGTAATGTAATGAACGACAAATTAAAATCATTACAATATATACATTTTCCACATACATCTACCTCGAAACATTTTTTTATAGATATTCATTGAAAACGAAAATACTCAAAAATTTTAATTTAGCACTTTTTCTACAATTTTTCCATTACGGTCCATTTTAGAAAAATCATGTATAAATAAAAATTATAGAGATCGATATCGCAAACAACTTTTATTTCAACAATTTTCATAAAAATCTCATTTTGTCAAATTTCTCGAATACGGACCATTTCAGGAAATTTTTACATAAAGCAAAAATTATAGATAATAATATTAGAAGTAACTTTTATTGGAACAATTTTCTTCTCCAAACATAAATAACAGATATATTCCATAAAATATAAAAACGGCCTCCCATAAAATCATTTCCCGTCAGGCCGAAATAAAACTTTTTTCTTTATCCGTATTCGAGTTTTCTTCAAATTTCGAAATTTACACATTTTCTCAAATATCTCGAATACGGTCCATTTTAGAGAAATTATGTAGAGGATAAAAATTATAGAGAATTATATTACAAACAACTTTTGTTTGAACAATTTTTATAAAAAAATATTTTTTTACATTTTGTCAAATTTCTCGAATACGGACCATTTTAGGAAAATTTTGTATAGAACAAAAATTTTAGATAATAATATAAGAAGTAACTTTTATTTGAAGAATTTTCTTCCCCAAACGTAAATAACAGATATATTCCATAAAATATAAAAATGACCCCCTATAAAGTACCCCCCCCCCAGATGTTCCGACCACATCCCCAACTAGCCATTCATAAAAGTGTATTTGTTGTGAAGTTATCATCATCTATTGTATAGTCCAGGAGACAGTGACGATTTTCGGTATTTATTTTCCCAGTCAGCAAGCACGAATAGAGAATTGTAGGATTAGCAATTCTAAGCAAAATTCATATATATTTAGAGGGGGGATCCGATGGGCTGAGGCCGAAAATGCGTCAAAACATACGAGAACACGGCCCTTTTTTCCATTGATAAAAATAGTTTTAGTAGTAAGAGATGTACTGAAGTTAAGTAAAAAAATAGTCTGATTAATCTGTATGGATAATATATTTAGCAAGTGCATAAAATACACTTTCAAACGAGTTATGTACACAATTATTTCTACGACCACAATTATTTAAAGAATGTTCCAGGTGTTTTGTATATTAAAGTGTACGTATAGGACACATAAATAAAATCTTATATCACAATGTTTCACCTAACCAGTTGGTTTATTTATAGAAATTAAACATAATAATTGAAGATATTACAGAAGAAAATAGGGAAATAAATTACATTTCCTTTTACACTTTTATATAATAATTGTTTTATTTAGAATTCACGAATCACTTATTACTCTACATTAATTATAATTATTGTTAGTTTCGTTATGTCAAATCATTTATACTAGAGGTGTGAGGAAAATATAGTGAACTGTGGAACGCCAATATCGTTGGATGCGCGTGGTAGAAATGGTCCTATAATACTGCTAAAAACATAGCTAAATTTTCATGGAAACACTGTACTTTTGACATTTGCGATACTCCGACGCATATGCATTATTGATGTAATCTCATGATTTTACAGTAATAGTATTTGCAATTTTAGTGTGATTTTTAGGTTATTATGGTTATTCATTTTATTTGGTTCTGATCTTTTGCGCTTTTAGAGTATTTGTCTTTTATATAGTTCTTAATTTGAATTTTAATATTGTGGTCTATTTATATTTGATTGCTGCTTTTCGACTAGTGCTTTATTCTTTTTGTGTTAAAATGAGCTTTATAACCATTAAGTACATGCTTCTAGTTGATATCTACCTAATCGTCATCGGGTGCTTGCAACAATGGGAAAAAGTGTATGGTTTTTTTGGTGTAAAGTTAGACGCCTTCATTTTTCAGGTAAGTTATTTGTAGTTATTTTTTACTTAAAAGAATAGCAATGCGTTCTGGTTCGGGGTGTGACTTTTGGGTTTTAGCTATCTGAGCCAAATTGTCGGCTAAGTGTCCTCTTTTAGGACACCCAGAACCGAAAACTATATAGATATATGTTTTTTTTTAAATTATTTTTTAATATGTATGCAGCTTGGATGAGGGCTTTAGGAAGAGATCCTAAGACTGAACACTGACTGCTATAAATGCTGTTTTTAGAGCACATTTCATAGTAAGTGATTTCATTCTAGCAGCAATGAGGAAACGTTTAAAAAACATGCTGTACCAACTATTACTTTAAAACCTCGTCTCTTTAAGCTATTATTACTTCATTCTAATGCATATATTAAAATGGTTTTTAACTTATGTCCTTATGATTAAAAGATGTAGGTATTTTAGTTGTTATAATAGAAATATATGATACTTTGTATTGACTGACCTACTGGTCACTGGTCATTCCACTTTTACTCCCTTTTTTCATAAATTATCAAATTATTTAAAAACAAATACATACCTAGCTATTTTCTGTAAATTACATTAAAATATTAGTATTAATACTTTACTAATAAAACTTCAGTTAATTTATTTTATATATATATACACAACGGAAGAGTTAATTGGATTTTCTCCTTGTTGAGTTTCAAAAATAGTAATTTAACATGATTTAAAAACAAATACATGAAATGGGCAAAATAGGCCTGCAAAGGCACTTTGTAAACAATCTCACTTGTATCGATGTGACGTAATGCGCGAATTCAATCTGGCTTACTTTTGTTAATAGATTGGCGTTCCATTTTAAATATACAGTTCACCGGGAATAGATTATTTAAATGTACAGGGACCGGGAAAACAAGTACGAAAAAATTCACTGGCTCCTGGACTAGTACTGTATCGAAGGAATTTTTATGAATGAAACAATATACGACCCTCCACAATTGCGGTCTACTCTACTTCCGCTGTTGTCAGACATTATTTTTTTTTTGACAATTTAAAGACCTAACAGTAATTCAAGCAAACGCAATAACATTACTACAGTTAAAAACATCGCAAACTTGGCATCAATATTTTAATTTTATCCAAATATTGCATTTCTGTCGAGGATCATCCGCGTTGACTTCAGAAATTGTGTAATCTGTATTGGTTATATATATATATATCTATAGTTAAAAGCACGTAAAATTGGCATCAATGTTCAATCCGATTATTGAGTTTCTACCGCGGACACCACCGTTCATTCTTCAAAAATTTTGTAAATAATCCTATCTGTCTTGGTTATATATCTATGGTTCCGACTCTGCCTAAAATCTAATCAGCTCATTGGACGCTGGAACAAAGCTTAAGTTTAAAATTTGGTGTTTATCGATTCATGAGTTATGCGACACACACACAGACATCATCGCGAAAATAGTCAAAACGGATTCAGGGGACCTCAAGACGTAAAAATCCGTCGAAAACTCGAGGTAGAAAAAAAATCATGATTCCTATACTTTCCTTATATCTGTATACAGATAGGAAAGTAAAAA